ACCATGGTATAGACAATATATTTTATACTTAAAGATAAAACTAATACAATAAAAAAAAACTGGTTTGTGAGCCGAACACAAGAAATTATATTAATATTTGAAAATCAAATTTCAATAATTATTGAATAAATTTTGGAGCGAGCGGGATTTGAACCTACACCTTTTGGGGGGAAAGGGATTGTTACTAATGGAGACTGAGAATCCCATTGCTAGCAATATGCCCAACCAGGTCGACCTCCTCGCGGCTCTCCCTGGAAACTATCATGGTTAATTCCTGATGAATTCATCATGATGGGCTAACTGGCCTGTTTTCATTCTCATCTATCACCCTTCACTGGTGCTCCGCCAGCGTATCCCGTTAGCGCAGGTGCGGATACCATACCATTTTCACCCATCAAAAAAAAACCTACTCCTTTTACTTGTTATTGGAATATAAACATAATTTGATATAGAAATATTATAAAATTATATTTTTAAATCATTTTCTAAATATGTATGATAATAAATTGTCAAGTGTCTAATCATAAATAAAAATTTTCAACATATAATGTATATACATATATATATATATATATATATATATATATATATATATATATATATATATATATATATATATTCGGCAAAGATATCGCATAATATAAACATATAGTTATATAGTTTTCATAAAAAAAACTTCTATTATGATAAAACTAGTAATTTTGATTAAAAACTAAACTATTCAACCTATTTTGATAACAATCATAATATTTGAAAACAATATTTGAAAACAAATTTGTAAGTATTACCTTATAGATAAAAAAAAAAAAGAAATTTCCAAATCGGTTTACAATTGACGAAGTTATGAGGTAACAAACTTAAAACATAAAAAATTACAAGCGAATTAAGAACATCTTTCTCTACGAAATCAGTCGAGAAGCAAATAATAATATATTCTAAATGAGTCTCTCGCTATTACAAGCTTCATATAAACAACGAGTACCTAATAGTACTTCCCAACAATAAAAAGAAAATTAAAAACACACCGTAAAATCGTCTTTTCACTCCACATCAAGTGATTACATAATAACTCTGACATAATTGTGTTGAATAACATAACGTTACTCTACATTAGGTACTGTTAGATTAGTACTACTACTTGAACAAGAATAAAACACGTAATACATTCAAAGTTATGAACCCGCGACCCTGCAGTGAAACCGGCGCGAGATAAAAGTGAAATGTGACTTTCTATAGATACATGGAGTGGCTATAGATTTAATAATTTGAGAGCAATGCATAGAGGCTATTTGTTGCGATCGAGTTACAAACAAATTTATTATCTACTTACAGGTTTTTACAGCTCAAGATAAGTTGCTATGATTTTAGACGTCTAGAAATAGTACTTTCTATGTAATGGGAGATTATAAAAGTGCCAGTCATTTAGTATTGATGACTTTATAACTTTAGTATGTTTACATGACGGAGTACTTCAAAATGTGCGACCAGTATGAAAGTAGAGCAAAAATACATCTATACATTTTTAAATTAATATATAAACATAGAAAATATTCGTTATTTAACATATATATATATATATATATATATATATATATATATATATATATATATATATATATATAATATGTAATATTATATAAAATAATTATATATAAAAGAAGTAATTATCCCTACTCATTATACATATATATATATATATATATATATATATATATATATATATATATATATATATATATATATATATATACGAGGTTTGTCCGGAAAGTACGTATAAAAGTTTTTTAAAAATTTTATTTTACAATTATTCAGGTAAATCAATTTTATCCCCTTCAAAGTACTCCCCTGTGACATAATGCACTTGTGCCAACGCCGTTTCCACTGTGAGAAGGCTCCTTGAAAGTCCTCTGGTTGTAGGTTTCTCAGCTGCCCCGTCGTAGCTTTTTTTATCTCATTTATGTCCCCCAAATGCCGCCCCCGAAGTACCAATTTGGTTTTTGGGAACAAGAAGAAGTCACACGGGGCCAAATCCGGCGAATAGGGGGTGTTCGGTCACCGTAATGGAATTTTTACTCAAAAACTCACGGAACGATCTTGGCGCAAATTTTTTTCATTTGAAGTTCGTTTCTTAGAATTTCGTGGACCACGGTTTTGCCCAAATTAAGCTCTTCAGCCACCTGTCTGACCGTTAAACGACGGTCCCCATTAACACAAGTTCGAATTCTTTCCACGTTTTCGTCGGAATGTGAAGTGGAAGGACGTCCTGAACGTGGGTCATCTTGAACGCTTTCTCGGCCCTCTCTGAATCTTTTTAGCCACTTGTGGACGGTTGGTTCCTTCACAGCATCATCCCCATAAACTGTTCTGAGATCGGCAAAAATTTCACGGCCATTCTTGCCGAGTTTCGAGAGAAACTTGATTACGACGCGCTGCTCTTCAACGGAAGCGGGCTCCATGCCGACGGGGTTTCGTTAAGAGGTAACTTCACAGATGGCGTGACAAGCCAGTTCGCACCGCACGGCGGTCAGACCAGAACTGAAGCATTGTTAGGGACATAAGGAAGGGGTCCTGCGCTTACCTGGCCTCCCCACTCCTCTTTCTCGCATTCCAGAACACTTTTATACGAACTTTCCGGACAGACCTCGTATATATATAATGAGTAGGGATAATTTTTATATTATTATATGTATTACATCTCCCATATCTAGAACTAACAAAATTTTTCATCGTGCCTCCTACCAAATTGTTTACTCCTCTCCATCCAAAGGTTGCCTGGAAGAGATCGTTTTTAGCGATAAGGTCGCCCATTGTTTTCCCATTGTGATTATTTCTTGTAATTATTTATATTTATAAAAATCTATCTATTTATCTAATATTTTTTTGATTTAGATTGAATTCATCTGAAATTTTTCAAAAACACCCACACATAAGCATAGACAGAAAAAAATATAGACAGGAATATATACATAAAAGTGTAGTTAAGTTGAAAAATCATTTTTTTTGAAGTCGGCTAAAACATACCGAGAAGTCGTGGACAGTTACCACGTCGTCACCTTTCGACGATTGAATTAACCAAGTGGATGTTTTTTCTAAAGCATTAATTCAAATACTGATGGTGTGAAAAAAGCGGTTATGTAAAATGATATAACTTTATTATTAGTATTAGAACATAATGCAATTAAACTGTTTTGCAACAATTACCAAATGTCAGATCGTATCTCGTGGGACCAATGACAATGGTGTCTAGAAATTATAAGAGACAGCGCATTATGGATGTGAAAAGTGAGCATTGTATAGTCGAATGATGAGTTGCGTACAATAAGAGATATTTTATAGATAATAAATTATATTCTTATGAGATAATTTCGTCATAATTCTGTCTGTACATTTGTTAGGTTCTGTCAGTAACTTTATCTTGAAACTTGTCAGAAAGATGTAAAGTATACAAATAAATGTGGGTTTAAAATAACTTTCTTCAAAAAGAAGGATGTTTTCAAATCTGTTGTATTATTTATGGTTTTTTTTATACAACTTAGAATAACAAACAAGCTGACGGTCCACCTGATGGAAAGTGGTAATCGTCGCCTATAGACATGAGCAGTACCATGGACAACAGAGTATACTGTTTCGCCCATGCGTTGCCATTCCTGAGGACTCAGGTGTTATTCCTCTGTACCTAGTAAATTCACGCCATATCCCACCCTTCAAACCGAAACACAGCCATGCAAACACAGCTGCTTCACAGTTGAAACACGAATGGGACAGAGGCAATTGACTTTTCTACAAAGTCTCCCTCTGGTAAAACTGGTTACCTTATAACTCAGTTAAATTAATGAAATAAATGAATAACAAAATAAAATAAATTTATATAGATATAAATCTATTTGGAAAACTCTTTTTATCTGAAAGGATATACTTTCAGATTGGTGTCCATATAAATTTTATCAAAATCGGTATTATAGTTTATTTTTTGAATCAAAATGACTGGTTCTGTCACAATTAAAGTTGATTTTTTTAGAAACACAATCAATTTATTATATTATTAGAGTAACATAGACTATATTATAAAAAAAAAAATACATAATGACCCGTACGAATATTACAATAACGTAGTCCAAGGATTAAAAATTTGCCTATAAAAGTCATTACTTGGCGTGCATTGTGAAAACTATCGATAATAGGGGGGAAAGGGATTGTTAGTAATGGAGACTGATAATTCCATTGCTAGCAATATACCCAACCAGGTCGACCTCCTCGCGGGTTTCCCTGGAAACTATCATGGTTAATTCCTGATGAATTCCTTATGATAGGCTAACTGGCCTGTTTTCATTCTCATCTATCACCCTTCACTGGTGTTGTGCAAGCGTATACCATTAGCGCGGGCGGGGTTGCCATGCCATTTTCACCCATAAAAAAAAAAAAAACTATCGATAATACAAAAAAATAATGGACTACATCTGTATTTACCCATTATTGCCTACAAACAAGTCCATGAGGCTATACACATATCTAACTATTATAGTTAAATACACAAACGGGATTTAACGCGATGTAAAAGCCTTCTTTATTGCCGACGTTTTGACGTGGATTGCACCAAGTCGTGGTCCCGATTGTGATTGGGGTCCCGATTCCCAATTTAGAATATGTGTAAACAACGCGTAAGTTTAAAATTAACTACTAAAGATGTCGTGTGGTCCCGGCATAGAATAGGCCACCCCTTCCTTTCCTGTGGGTGTCGTAATAGGCGACTAAGGGAGGGTGGGATGGGCAGTAGCGTCCCCTTTAAAACATCTCTAAAGTCTTAGTGCGTCTGCCAATCCGCCTGCCAAGTGTGGCAACTACTGGCAAAACCCCCCCTAAGGAGGAGGCTTATATTCAGCAGTGGACAGTTAAAGGCTGATGTGATAATATGATATGCTTACACAATTATCACCACTAAATTAAGCACAAGCGTTCGATTCACAATTCACTTTATACAAATCAATACTGTTTGTTCACAGTGCGAACACAGCGATGGACAATGACGTGACTCCGGTGTACCTCGCCGCCCAGGAGGGTCACCTCGCCGTACTCAAGTACCTGGTACTGGAGGCTGGTGGTCGACTGGACGCGAGGGCGAGGGACGGCATGCTACCAATACACGCAGCCGCGCAGACCGGCTGTTTGGATTGCGTCAAGTGGATGGTAAGTTATTGTCTCGAGCTTACCTGCCTCCCTAAATAAGTGGTAAACGAATCTATTGATGTAATTGTTATGGCAGGTGAGTTCATGAGTTGGAATGAGACATCGGATGTTGCTATCTCATTCTATCTCATGGGCTCGCTAGCGATGACGATTCCATTTGATGAATTCGATTGCTACTTGTCTAGAGGGTCTTGGCAGCTATGCACTAGAGTGCACTTTTGAGCCTCTTTTTTCTTATGTGAAATAAGTGTGCTTTTGATTTAATTCTTATATATTTTTTATTAATTGCACCAAAAACATAAAAATATACAAAGACAATCAGAAAATTTAAGTGAAATACAGTAGCATAAAGTACAGATCAATATATATATACATACAGGTTCAAAAGGCGGTTTTATCGCACGACTTTTGTACAAAGTCTTCCTCTGATAAAGAAATTGTCACTTATAAATATAAAAAGTATTATGAACATTACAGATTACACTGTGACGCCCATGGTTTCCGCCATTGGTTGGCTTAATGCGTTGCTAAATATCAGAGCTAAAATAGGCACTTATTAGGAAGTATATTACGAGTATTTATTTATTTATTTATGCTTTATTGACCAAATTACAAAAAAAAAAATGTCTGGTACTAAAGGCGGACTTAATACTATATAGCATTTTCTCCACGTTAACCTTTGGCAAAACAGAAATTTTAATATGCGGTGAAAAAAAATTACAACACATACAATAGAGATTATATAAATATACATACATGAATATATTAAACAAATATTACATAAATATACAAATATGTAATAAAAATACATATATACATATATATCTGTGTATTGGAAAAGTTGAAGCAAATCATTCTTATATGTACCCACGAGTGAATGGTAATAATATAAGAAAACAAGTCAAATTACCCATTTCCTCCATTCGTAATTATGATAAATGGATGCGAGTTATCGATTTAGATGTTTCGCTCTGCTTTTATGTAATGTTTTTCGATTATTTAACTTTATCTCGAGTGCACTTACGTTTTTTTTTTTTTTTTTTTTTACAACACAGGGGGCAAACGAGCATGCGGCTCACCTGATGGTAAGTGACTACCGCCGCCCATGATCACCCACAACACCAGCGGCATTGCAGGTGTGCTGCCGGCCTTTTAAAAAGGAATATACTCTTTTCTTGAAGGTTATGTTGTCGTATCGGTTCGGAAATACTGCTGCTGGAAGTTGATTCCAAAGAATGGTTGTGCGTGGAAGAAAGTGCCTTGAAAAACGCACGGTGGAAGACCGCCACTCGTCCAGATGATTGGGATGAAACTTTAGTTTGTGGCGGGTTGTACGGTGGTGAAAATCAGCAGCAGGTATCAATCCGAACAATTCCTCAGAACACTCCCCATGATAAATTCGGTAGAAGATGCACAGAGATGCAACATCTCTGCGCAGTTTCAATGGGTCAAGCCGGACAGTAAGGCGTTGACTATCGATAATTCGAGCCGCCCGACTTTGAATGCGGTCTAACGGAAGGAGTTGGTACTGTGGCGCTCCTGCCCACAGGTGAGAACAGTATTCCATATGCGGCCTGACTTGGGCTTTATATAATTTCAGGCGGTGTTTTGGCATGAAATATCGTCTCACCCTATTGAGCACTCCTAACTTTTTGGAAGCTATCTTAGCCTTCTCCTCCAGATGACCGCAAAACTGGACGTCGCAAGATATATCAACGCCCAGAATTCCTAGACTTGACTTTTTATCAAGGGAAGTGCCCTGAAAGTGAGGAGATACGACAAACGGCGTCTTTTTTGCGGTAAACGCGCAGACTTGTGTCTTTTTGGGGTTAAATTGAACAAGATTTTGTTCACCCCAGATCGAAACTTGATGGAGTGAAGTTTCGATTTCAGACACAAGTCTATTCCGGCACTCATCGGTATGTGCCCGCGAGATCTTTGCATGACCGGTATATAATGTATCTCCTGTACTGTCGTCCGCATAGCAATGAATATTACTTATCTGTAACATATCATTGATATGCAGAAGAAACAGAGTCGGAGATAGTACACAGCCTTGCGGGACACCAGCATTCAAAGGTTTTAAATCAGAGCATGCACCGTCGACTACGACCTTAATGCTACGTTCCTTGAGAAAACTGGCGACCCAAATGCACAGTCTCGCAGGCAACCCAAATGAAGGTAGCTTTGAAAGCAGCGCTCTATGCCACACCCGATCAAAGGCCTTCGCAATATCCAGACTAACTGCTAAGGCCTCTCCCTTACTCTCGATTGCCACTGCCCATCGGTGTGTTAAGTAAGCTAAAAGATCACCGGCCGAACGTCCCTGTCGAAAGCCGTACTGGCGATCACAGATCAGCTGGTGCTCTTCTAGGTACCGGAGCAGTTGACGGTTAATGATGGATTCCATAACCTTCGAGAATAAGGAAGTGATAGCTATGGGCCTATAGTTAGCTGGATCTGAGCGATCTCCCTTTTTAGGGATCGGATGCACCAGAGCAGTCTTCCAAAACTTTGGGACTATGCCCGATGAGTAGCTAAGCCGAAAAAGACGCGTAAGAACCGGAGCCAACTCTGGTGCGCACGTCCTAAGCACAATTGGAGGAATACCATCAGGCCCACTCGACTTATGGATTTCGAGGGAGAAAAGTGCTCTACGCACTGAGCTAACGTACTCTGTAATCGTATATATTTATATGAATACAGGTTACTTTTTGTACAATATTTTTTTTTTAATTATAGCTCCTACAACTGAGTCATATACAATATGACTATTACAGGCCATCAATGTATTTATTGACAACCTTGGTAGTATAACTAAAGGTATAGCGCTTTAAAATACCCCCTCAACTACCGATTGTTATGGATATAATCCCCGTACAATACAAATATTTGCATTCATGATTTATTTATTTATTTATTCATTAGTACAAATATATGTACATGGTGGACTTAATGCTAAAAGCATTCTCTCCCAGTCAACCATAGGCAAGTGTCAGAATACTCGAATGAGGTACTACTAATTATTGATATATATACATACTAAAATTACATATATAAACGAATAAATATATATGAATAACAAATATACTTACATATATATGACATATACTATGTTATACACGAAATTGAGAATAATATAAAGCACTTACTGCTCGGATAAAGTAAAAAAGTGAGCGGGAACGTTTTTTTTTTTAAAGACGGTTTAGTCGGTAGTCTCTTAATGGCATCAGGAAGCGCGTTTCAGAGTCGTGAAGAATGTAGGAGAAAAGAGTTTGAAGCGTAACCAGTACGGTGAGAGAGGAAAGATAGTTGGAGAGTATTATTGGAACGAAGGTTAGGATCGTGAGTTTCAAAAAGATACTGGAATTTACTGCTTAAGTAGTTAGGAGACGGGGGGTTTTGAAGAAGAGTATAGAGGGTACAAAGAATCCTAACGTTTCTGCGTTGACGAATGGAAAGCCACTTGAGCTGAAACCGATATAAAGAAATGATTGTGTATAAATTGTTTGTATTGGTCTGAGTGTTTTTTATTAATAGTATTTAAGTATATTTTGCAGTCGTCTAATGTTCATAATACAGGTTCTGCTTAGTTTGGTACTAGGTAGCGCTGTGTGGTACGCCCAGTGGTATTTATTTATTGTGTAATGACTGTTTCTATTTATTTAAACCTTTTAAGAAACTATTTTTTTTAATATATATATACAATGACCTCTGTAATGGCAATGGGCAGCAGCGTCCCTCTTAATAAAGCACCAAAATCTAACTGTGGTTGCTGACTCGCTTGTCAAGCGTGGCAACTACTGGCAAGACCCCATTAGGGCGAGCCCTATTTTTAGCAATGGATAGTTAACGGTTGATATGCTGATGATGATAATGACGAATAATGGCTGGCTCTTCCGTCATACTCGTGGACGGGTGCTGCTCGGGACTGGTCTGCTATCCATACAAATGTAAAATTATCTTGAGTATAATAATTTGAAAATAGTAACTGAGTTTCACAGCAGATGAGAACATTCTAAATCTAATAGTAGATTAAAAAAAAAAAAGATTTAAAGAATTTAAAAGAGCTTGTAAACGTTTATTTAAATAAATAATATTTTTATTGTACTTTATATAAATGTTAGCAGAGAAATATAAACAGTAAGCGTATTTAAACTAGAATTCTAGAACGTTAGCTATAACACTATAAGTATCAACTTATAAACTTCGTTACACGGTTAGAGCTAAACCGACGATTTGCGGTAACATTAAAAACTCGATTTACTTACAGTAACTAACTCAATGGCGCGATGAAAACTTTGGTAAAAATAGTTAACAGTTACTTGCACTAGTTTAATAATTATCAAAGTAGATATAAATTATATTAATAGATGTATCTGTTATGAATGCAATTTTTTTTTATCCTTTTTTATTTAGAGGCTTTTTTCCTATAAGGATATGTCAGCCTCATCATACCCAATGCAATTTTTTTATGCGACTTAACCCTTAAATACCTGAAGTTTCAAATTTGATACCGGGGTTATAAATCGCATTGGGCGCCTTTAATCGATTTTTTTATAATATTTGGCTGTTTACATGTTTTTTTTCAAAATAAATATATAAAAATATCGTTTTGATTCTTTTACTATTTGTTCCCATTAGTAAATACAGTAAAGGGTACACTTATATATTTTTTAATTTGATTTAAAAGATCAGGCTTTTAAGGGTTAAAATGACAAACAAGCTGACGACCCACCTGATAGAAAGTGGTAACTGTCGTCTATAGACATGAACAGTATCATGGATATAATAGTGTTTCTGATAATAAATTTCTGTAATTTAAGTGTACGAGTTATAAATTTCAGCCAATTTAAATAAAAAAGGTTCTCAATTGGTTTGTTTGTATGTTTGTTGCTTCATAACTCCGTCAGTTATAAATTGATTTGGGATATATTTTTCTTTATCTGAAAGGATATACTTTCAGATTAGACCTACAGACATTTTGTCAAAATCTGTTTAGTAATTTAATTTTGAAATAAAAATAATTGATTTTGCTACAACTGAAGTAGGTTTTTTTGATATACAATATTTAGTTATTATTCTAATTCACGCAAGAAAAGGCACGGGATACAATCAGTGTTCATAAATTAGATAAATGGAATTCCCAAGTTTTTCAGAAGCCGCCATATTTTTTTTATACTGTTATCATGCAAACACTCTTACAATTAAGACAAATTTAGCAACACTATTTTCAAAGTTTAGCTTCCTCGGACATCGGTCACTCAAAAGACATTACCCTGCTTTCTTTGGCAGTCAAATAAAAATAGATGACTAGTAAAAAAAAAAGGTTTAATAAGTTGTAATAGAAACACTGAACTGTGTTTGTACGAAGCAGCTGTGTTTTTATAGCTGTGTTTCAGTTTGAAGGATGGGATATGGTGGTGAATTTACAGTTATTATGGTTTTAAAACCATAGTTCTTATGAAAAGCAATGCATGTCGGTTAACATGGGTAACACATGGTGTTAATATGTTGTTTGTCCATGGTACTACTGTTTATGTCTATAGGCGACGGTTACTTTTCCATCAGATGGGATTGCCATTCCAAGTTATATCGTCATCATCATCAAGTCACTAACCGTCCACTGCTAAACATAGGCCTCCCCCATAGACTTTTTATTAATGGGTGGAAATGGAATAGTAACCTCGCCTGCGCTATCGGTATACGCTGGTGGGGCACCAGTGATAGATCACAGGTGAAGATGAAGGCAGGACAGTTAGCCCATCGTGACGAACTCATAAAGGATTTACCACAATGGTTTCCAGGAGGAACTGCATGGAGGTCGACCTGATATAGTGTATTGTTAGCAATGGGCTGTAAGAACCCATTACTAACAATCCCTTTCCCTCCTTCCCCATAGACTGCCATAAAGTACGGTCCTTAGCTACCTACATCCATTGACACCCTGCAATTTATTTGAGGTCATCACTCCATCTAGTGGGGGGGGGGGGGGGGGGGGTTGTCTTATACTGTGTTTGCTCGTACAGGGTCGCAACAAAAAACCTTTCTTCCTAATGAGTTGTCAGTTCTTCGAGTTATGTGACCAGCCTATTGCCACTTCAGCTTGCTTGTCTGCTTATGGTTCCCTAAGGTCAACCAGTAATAAATTTATCTTACACTAGATCGTGGAACGAAACGTGGATCCTAATGCGAGGGACGGAGATGGCGCAACTCCTCTCCACTTCGCCGCATCCAGAGGGCACCTCAGCACCGTCCGCTGGTTGCTTCGGCATGGTGCCCGACTGCATCTCGACAGGCATGGCAAGAGTCCTATTAATGATGCTGCTGAGAATCATCACTTGGAGGTAAAACTATTAAGATTATTGTACTTAGTCACAATGAGGGCATTTTAAAAGACTTCCAATCAGATGTTCCTTAATTCGTCTATATTTTTTTTTTGTAAACATATCACGTGATTGTTGTTGTGTAATCCTGGCATAAAAAAGGCTACCTCTTCCTTCGCCGTAGGTGTCGTAAGAGGCGACTAAGAAAACTTAATGGCCGAGGCAATAGTATCCCTCTTAAAACATCACCAAGGATTAATTGCGGTTGCCAATTCGCCTGCTACGCGTGGCAACTACGCTCATCCCTTGCCTTCCCTTAGTCGCCTCTTACGACACCCACGGAAAAGGAAGCTTCTTACGGCGCCCATGGAAAGGAATAGATGGCCTATTCTATGCGGGACCGATACGACGATTTGGATTAGATGCGGAAATTTTAATTTAAATGAAATACGGAGTTTAAATAAAATTTAATTGAAATACAGGTAAAGATGTGGGATTTGGCATGAAGAAATGTAAGCATACAAAGATATGGATAAATACTAGTAAAAATTACAATAGATAGATAGACAGATACTCTTTATTGTTTCCTCCAAAAGATTACAACAGTAAACTTATTCTAGATATAAACAATTACAAGAAATAATGTAATTATTATGTGAAAACAATGGGCGACCTTATCGCTAAAAGCGATCTCTTCCAGGCAACCTTTGGATGGAAAGGAGTAATTATAAACTGTTTGATTGGAGGCACGATGAAGATCCTATTAAAATATGCTTAAAAAAAATTTAAAAATATATAATATATATTTATAGAGTAGTGAAATTACTATTCAGTATATTGTTACCCATGAATTAACTATTTAAGATGGAGCGAAATTTAACTGTTTTCGTGTATTGTCTATAGGGAGCCTGCATATAAAGTTATATGTATATCTCTATCTATGTCTGTCTGTAATGTCTATTATGCTTTTATTCATAATATCATAGTTATAAAGACAATTACCACTTTCTATCAGATGAGCTGTCACATTGAGTTATATTTCACTTCTATAAAAAACATAACGTTTAATTTTCCTTGAGTTTATCAGAGCGGTGACAGTTAACTCATTGGAACGTTTGACTGACGTAAGATGATCCCAAAACCTGAGCTTATATTTATACTAGCTATATCTCGCGGCTTCACACACAAGAATCTTTATATAAAGTATGCTAGATGTTACGTTAGGATATAACCTACATGTGAACCAAATTATATTCAAATTCATTCAGTAATTTTCGCGTGAAGAGTAACAAACATCCATCCATCGTTATAAATAGGCTTATAAAAATATAATAGTCGTAATAAATACGAGTATTTAATACTTCCTTCTTACTTAGCAGGATAAGTTAATATGAATTTAGATCAGGTAAGTGAAGGTCGTTTATTCTCCAATTTTAATTTAGTAAAATTATACTGGAAGTATTTTATAGTATTCTTAAATTTCAAAAAAACAAGGTTCGCAATTCATTAGATTTTTTTGACAACTGTACGTCGTCAGTTTTGCACCGATTTTTACAATTCGGTAAAGTAACGTAACGTTTACTCCTATGTTGACCCCATTTTTATTTAGTGACGATGATTTTTCTTGCGGAGCAAATCAATGCTTGTTACGAAAGAAAATTTACACATAAACACGTGATTCCTCGTTCTGAATTTAAACATGTATTATGTATTAACAACAAATTGCGTCGTTTATCTGTGTGTGTGCGAATGTGTATTTACGATTGAAGTTTTATTTTGTAGTGCAAGTAAATTTTGCTTTTCGAGTCGATTATGTTGTCTTCAGTAGATACAGGTGGCTCAGGATCGTTTTTGGAGGAGGCGTATGTTCAGCAGTGGACAGATAATGGCTGAGATAATGACGATGATGATTCTTTCGTAGCTCAACTACAAACTTAAATCTACTTGTATAGATTTTTTTTTAAATTTTTTTTATACAACTTAGAATGGCAAACAAGCTTACGGTCCACCTGATGAAAAGTGGTAATCGTCGCCTATAGACATGAGCAGTACCATAGACATAACAGACTAAATTCTTAGCTCATGATACCCCCCATGCGTTGCCATTCCTGAGGACTCAGGTGTTATTCCTCTGTACCCAGTAAATTCACACCATATCCCACCCTTCAAACCGAAACACAGCCATGCAAACACAACTGCTTCACGGTTAAAACACGAATGGGACAGAGGTACCCAAGCAATCGACTTTTGTACAAAGTTTCTCTCTGGTTAATCTTAATGGAATTCTGTCTTAAAGCAATTGAGTGTTTTAAAAAGGTAGTGAAATACTTAATTTCATACGGAAGGAAGCTTTTAAAACATTCTTGTCATCACGACCACCTCGTATACAATACATAATGGCAACAATGCTTTATAATTCCTTGTTGAAGGCGTAATTATACGTGCATCACTTTCTACCGTGTCTATGGTCAGGTGTAATCGCGAGCATAGACAATAGAGTAATGTTCACGTTTGGAAAGTATCAGTTTTCACTATGTCACAGTCTGTTGTCTTTGATGTAATTTCAATTTAAAATTGTACATGAGATGACAGTATCAGACGGATTTAACGTCAAAATATAATAACATCTTGTTCTAACTATTATTTTTATTGCATGCCATTGCCGTTGAATTTAATAATAGTATTTGAAGATTTGCTATGTGATTCCGGCATGGAAAAGGTCACCCCGGGGGGAAAGGAATTGTTAGTAATGGAGACTGAGAATCCCATTGCTAGCAATATACCCAACCGGGTCGACCTCCTCGCGGTTCTCCCTGGAAACTATCATGGTTAATTCCTGATGAATTCATCATAATGGGCTAACTGGCCTGTTTTCATTCTCATCTATCACCCTTCATTGGTGCCCCGCCAGCGTATCCCGTAAGCGCAGGCGGGGTTACTATACCATTTTCACCTATCAACAAAAAAAAAATAGGTCACCCCGGGGGGAGAAGGGATTCTTAATAATGTAGATTAGTAGCCCTATTGCTAGCAATATACCCTGTCAGGTCGACCTCGTCGTGGTTCCCCCTGGAAACCATTGTTTTTGATTTATTGTTAGATTCGTCACTGTCGGCTAACTGGCCTGCTTCATCCTCACCTATCATCCCTCACTTGTGCCTTGCCAGCGTATCCCGTAAGCGCAGGCGGGGTTACTATACCATTTTCACCTATCAACAAAAAAAAAATAGGTCACCCCGGGGGGAGAAGGGATTCTTAATAATGTAGATTAGTAGCCCTATTGCTAGCAATATACCCTGTCAGGTCGACCTCGTCGTGGTTCCCCCTGGAAACCATTGTTTTTGATTTATTGTTAGATTCGTCACTGTCGGCTAACTGGCCTGCTTCATCCTCACCTATCATCCCTCACTTGTGCCTTGCCAGTGTATACCGATAGCGCAGGCGGGGTTACCATTCCATTATCATCCATTAAAAAAAATTTGACCCCTTCCTTTACCGTGGGTGTAATAAGAGGCGACTAAGGAGGGCAAGGGATGGGCAGCAAAGACCCCCTCAAAATATCACCAAAGCTTACTGCGGTTACCAAACTGCTTGCCAAGCGTGGCAACTACTGGAAAAATCTCCCAAGGCCGAGGCTTATGTCCAGCGGTGGATAGTTGAAGGCTGATATGATGATGATGATGAAACGGCAATTGCTTTGTTATGATGCTGTTTCATAGTTAACTGTAAAATAGTATATATTTTAATGAAAGCAACTGTGAAAGGACAGGCGTGGTAAATTAGTCATTAAATCTTTAAATGTAATGTACACAGAAATAATAGAGATACTTAGAAAATCAAAGATTGTATATTACCACACAGACTTTGAAGATCTAAATGGGGTTTTTAGGTTTTATTGTAAATTGTAGTCACTAGTAACGCGCCCTGGCTTCGCACGGATATATAGGAAGATAAATTATAGTATTTTATATTAGCTTTAATAGGCAAAATTTGCGGGGGGAAAGGGATTGTTAGTAATGGGGACTGAGAATCCTATTGCTAGCAATATACCTAACCAGGTCGACCTCCTCGCGGTTCTCCCTGGAAACTATCATGGTTAATTCCTGATGAATTCATCACGATGGGCTAACTAGCCTGTTTTTATTCTCATCGATCACCCTTCACTGGTGCTCCGCCAGCATATCCCGTTAGCGCAGGCGGAGTTACCATACCATTTTCACCCGTCAAAAAAAAGGCACAATTTGATATTTTGAAATAACAATAACGGTACCCACGTTATTATAATTTTTTGATGATTTCTATTTTTTTTTTAATTAGTATATAACCTATGTTATTTTGATGATAATGTAGCTTTCTGTAGGTGAAAGAATTTTTAGAATCGGTTGAGTAATTTTTGAGTTTATCAATTATAAACTAACAAATAAACAAACAATCTAATTATTATTATTATAGATTAAGTAAGAATATTGCATTTTGCAGACCGCAAGCACAAGTTCGTTTGTTTGACTTAACGGTATAGGTATTTGTTTCAATTTACCATCACGGTGAATTCTTATTTAAAAAAAAAATATATTCTACTTATTTAAATGCTCCGATGTATAACATCTTAACTGCTGAACTGTTGCAACATTGATAATGCGGGTTACGTATTTTTTTATACCACTGAGGTGGCAAACAAACATACGGCCTACCCGATAACTGACAGTAAGTGACTGTAGCCTATGAACACCTGCAAAACGAAGGTCATTATGGGCGTGTTGCCAACTCTGTTGAAACCTCTTTACTCCAATGTTGGAAAAGAGATTGTTCGTAATGCGGACTACTAGTCCCATTACTGTTTATTTATTTATTTATTATTTGACAAAAAACACAAAATTACAAATACAAAATACAATGGGCCCCACACTAGGCGAACCTGTATCGTGGGCACCCGACAAAGATTAACAAATCACAATGTGTTATAATAAAAAGTACATAGTGGGCGGGTATTAATATAAAAAGAAATATATAATTGAAATATTGAAAAAAGTAAAAAAAAAATCAACAATATAAATACACAAGCAATTATAAGATACTGATAATATATGCCCTTAAGAGAAACGAAGTTGAATAAATGAATGTGGAAATGTACAGGAGTATGTGTGAATGAGTGTAGTGTAATCCATGTGAAAGATGTGTACTGTATGTTATTACTTTCCAGACCATAGTTCCTCAGTTGCCTCGTAACACAGTGATAAAAGATAATTATTTAATTTGTGTTTTATAATATGAGTACCATGACCTATCAGTGGACACACTTTGTTTATTTTATAGTATATTGACGGAAATGCGAATGCACCAAAACGGCGGGCAAAGTAAGATCTGATGGTAGGAATGTTTACCTATAGTACTACTATAGAACTAGCAATATACTTTGTCAGGTCAACCTTCATGTGGTTCCCTTTGGATACCATTGTGCTGAATTCCAGGTGTATTCATCGCAATGAGCTAACTGACTTGCTTTCATCCTCATCTGTCATCTCTCACTGGTGTCCCGCCAGCGTTTACTGTTAGCGCAGGCGGGGTTACCATTCTATTATCATCCATTTAAAAGAACCTCTTTATTCCTTTTTTGAAAAACCTCATACTGTAGACTCTTGAAAAAACCTCGAGATTGCCCATAACCTGAGCTTGCCCATAAGCTGAGTTATCAGAACCTGAACAAATTTGTTCAACATTTTGCTACAGGATGTTCGTCTGATGACCTTTACGTTATTCTATTCAATAACAATTTCAATAATATATTGTTGTAGGTATCGGATATAAGGTATTAGACATGGCGATGTCATTACTATGTGCAAATTTTTACTGTTTTGGTGCCTTTATTTATATGCCACTAGCTTTTACCGCGAGTGCTTCCGCGTCACCTAGATATGTTCATTGACCTAGTTTAAACCTTCTCCAAAATATATATTATGTCTATACCAAATTTCATAGTAATTGATTAAACCGTTGAGATGCTTATTTATAAAATTAGTATCTATTATTATGAATTATATAAGAAAATAGAAAAAAGAAAAAATATTGGATAGATATAATTAATTAGAATCAAGATAGGGTTTCTAAATTTCTAAGTCTAATGGCTTATGTCTTTGCTCTTTCCTATTGCAATAGTAAAAACAACATAAATGTAATTAGGTCTCCCAGAAATACTCGCACTACTGAGGCCTGTGTTAATTCGTACAAAAAAAGTTTGAATGAAATCTATGTAACCATTTAATTTTAAAATTTTATAATATTAATTAGTTAGAACTTTTATGACGCCTATCGATGTCGATATTTTCGACACAGGAACTATTATAAATTGTTGTACAGTATTATGAATATTTTGTTTTCTTGTGGTTATTGCATGTTTTATTTTTTGGTTTCGGGCAGGGATAAGGGCAATGGCGATTAATGAATAATGAAATAATTACATACTCTGTGGCCCAGTGGTCTGAATGTAATAATAATAATGTATTTGTCCACAGTGCCTGAATGTATTGGTGGCAGCCGGCGCGGCCGGTGCTGACAGTAAGCAGCTCGCATCATACAAGGCTATTCATTCCTGTGCATGCACACCAGGAGAAGTGAGAGTGAGTGTCCCTAAATTTTTTATTTATTTATTTATACTTTATTATACACACTGATAATACATAAAAATATGACAGAGGTAAGTAAATGTACAAAGGCGAGCTTAACTTTAAAAGAGTTCTCTTCCAGCAAACCCAAAGTGGAAAGGAGCATCAATGTCAGAGACTAAAGCTGTGTAATATAATAATATAATTTCCAAACAAAAAAGAAGAATTAAGTTTACACATTTTTTTAAGGATGATAAAGAAAAAGGAATGATAATCCCGCCTGCGCTATGTGTTTATAACTTTTTATATATACTTTCTAAAAGGGTTGATCGCAGTTTGGGCATATTGGTACTAGGATTACAATTTAATGCAGATATGAAATCATGTCTATATGTAAAATTGGAGAAAAGGGTATTTTTTTTATACAACTTAGAATGTCAAACAAGCTGACGGCCCACCTAATGGAAAGTGGTAACCGTCGCCATGACACATGAGCAGTACCATGGACATAACAGAGTATACTGTTTCGCCCATGATACCCCCCATGCGTTGCCATTCCTGAGGACTCAGGTGTTATTCCTCTGTACCCAGTAAATTCACGCCATATCCCACCCTTCAAATCGAAACACAGCCATGCAAACACAACTGCTTCACGGTTGAAACACGAATGGGACAGAGGTACCCAAGCAATCGACTTTTATACAAAGTCTCCCTCATTATGGCTATTTCTTGTCGAATTCATCATGATGGGCCAACTGAGCTGCATTCATTCTCACCTATCATCTTCCACTGGTGCCCCGTCGGTGTATACCGATAGTGCGGGCCATTGCATTTTCTCCCATTAAAAAAAAAGATTTGATATGAAAAGACAAGTTAACTCGTCACTGGTCAGTAAAGTGAATTAATAAAAATATATATTTGTCATTTCAGTGCGCTCTACCCAACTGTATCAATGCGAATGGCAGTCGTTCCCCGTTTTACCTGCACGCACCAGAGAAGGAGCACCGCAGTTCCACACAAGAGCGCCGGGGATCCCTCCCGTCCACCATCGGTTCTATCAGCTCGAACCGTTCGGGGCCGGCCGATGGGCTGTATGTGAATCCAATGCAGAGAGCCACGTCCACCACTGCCACGCATAACAGCTCGTCTGGGGAAGAGAGTTCAGGTGACTTTAGATTTGTTTTTTTTTAACAAACTGTAGAAAAAAGGATGGATGATCCTTTTGGAAGAAATTCCAAAAGGATTATCCATTCTTTTTTATATAAGAAAGAAGTATATGTTCGGATTCTGAATGGTTATTTTTTTTTAAAAAGTATGTTTTTGTTTTGCCAATGTTCCGTTATAGTAGATACTAGTTGATATATTTTTTTAACAATTTTTAATTGTATTATTATGTATAATTATTTAAGTATGTCGCTATAATTATGGTATGTCACATATTTTTCACCACATCTGCCCTTCTGTTTTTACCTAATGGTTAACTGGTAGAGAATGCCATATGGCATTAAGTTCGCCACTTGTACAAAATTTTATTGTAAAATGAAGAATAAATAAATAATTTATTTGTTATGATAACATAAGTTATCACTACACAATATTTCATCAAAATTTGTCCAGTAGTTTCTACGTGATACGTGTAGGTATAGACATGGTCTAGCAATAGTCTTATTAGTATAACACTTTTTTTATTTATACTGTTATTTTATATGCAAGTATTTTAGATTAAAAATGTATAATCTTTAGTTATATTACGCTTATGGTAAGTATAGACATAGCTATAAAATACGAACTTACTTTAAGGAGAGATGTGATGTACTCATTAAAGTTTAGACTGCAAGCCCCTCGCTCCAGGCTATTCCTCTGGGTGACGTCCGGGCGGGTGGTCGTGTGAGTGACATATTATTGTTTATTATTTCCTACACCTACCTACCATACAAGGAGGACATCACAAATAATTTAAAAGATATTTCATGTAGAAAATTCGCAATTTTGCAAACACAATCGATACCTACTAGTTTGGTTAATTATGTAAAACTAATACGATTATGTCTTCTCACATTGAGTGTGATACAATGGTTGGAGGCGTGAAATATTGAGCGTGTCTAATAGTGTACGAAGCCATGCGCGGCGACCGTACTGTGACAACACTCTGCAGTGGTTCTGGGATAGAATAAAATAAATTATACCTAATATTATATTTTCGATAGTATTCTTAACTTAAATTAGATAAGTAAACTCTGTCAAAAAACCTTATTTCAATTTATTTAAGGTATGTACAGTATGAAGATTCAGTAGAACACATAGCCAAATAGGTAATAAAATAGGTAATCAAAAATACCTAATCAGTAAACCATCATTATGGGTTACGACACCAGAAACAGCTCCGAGAAGCATGATGTAGACAATATCTTATTTATTTGATTTAAAACTATTTCTGTATTCTTCTAAGTTCATCGGTTCGGTATCTATTAACTATCCATTTATATATAAGTTAGTAATGAAAAAATATAAAGTTTTTAAATGAAAAGTGTTTATTTTTAAGGATTGCAACATACTGATAATACCCACGAGTATTAAGTTAGAGTAATGCTAGAATTCATGACGTTATTCACTTTCCAACAAGGTGGACCGTCATCTCGTTTACTTCCTTAACAATAAAAAATAATAATAAGTAAACATGTATGTTTTGTGTATTTAATCCATCTACCATTTATTTTTTTACATACCGCGTTTTTCCATTGTACTCGTATTAGTAATCTGCTCAAAGGTATGAAGAAGATTCTTTTAATACCAAAAGATGTGAAAAGGTTAAAAATTAATGCTGTAAGCAATAAGTTTGTTGTTACATTCACATTTATATTCTAAAGAAAATATAGTAAATAAATTTAATAGCAGACATTATTTTTCAATTGCTAACTAAATTAAGCTATACGGAAAAAGCGATATAGTAACTCGTTAAATATGTGAGTTCAACTGAATAGAATTAATTAGGGAATTTTAATTAATTATGAATTTATGAAATTGTGGGCACGCTTGAAGAAACACAATGAAATATATTTATTTCCTGTTGATTTTTTTATTAGAAATTATGTCGATTTTATGTTTGAAGTTATAATTATTTTATATAAATTAAATTTTTTTCCTATAAATCCTAATGGGACTATTATTAATTTAAAAGAAATAATTATATGATGTTATTAAACCCTAAAAGTTGACGATTAAAAGAAGTAATATTTGAAAACATATTAAACGCTAGTTTATTGTGTTGGTATTTTTCAAAGAAGACCCAGATCTAAGCCAGTTCAGACAATAATTTATTTTAATTTAAAACACTAGTTAAAATGTGTGTCAATTTATATAAATAATCGTACACAAAATATATTGTATACAACAATACAAATAAGTCCTTGGTTTTAAATGACTTTTGGTGACCCTACAACGGAAATGATAATTTCAGGAAGCGTACGCGCAGCTTTGTGTAATACAGGTCGCACTCCATTGGTCAGTTATTTTCCTGGTGTCGCGACGAGTGGACGTGCCTATACAGTCCTCAATGAAAATTATATTCGAAAATGAATGTTGTTAGCAAAAGGCGTATTTATGAAGCTTGGACGTTGGATAAATATATGAAATATAAAGATTATGGTGTGTTCAAAACATTTTTTTTACATTTAAATAACATTATGACTATCATAATTTAGTATTTTGTTGTGATATGTTTTAGTGGAAATTATACATATTTTAATATAATGTTATGATTTTGAAATTACAAATAATAATAATTATTGGTTTGTTAATGAGTAAAGTGATATATTTCGTAAGACTATATGATTTATTTACTATGAAATAATAGTTTTTGAATTGAGGAAAGTTCAGAATTTTTATTGTATCGATTGCAAATTAAATAAAAAATAATAAGTAAGTAAGTTTTTAACAATATTATTTCTGCAACGATAGTTATTGTAGTAACTTATTACATTATATAGTATTCTAATTAATAACAATAAATAATAGATTAACATGAAGCAACACATAGTAGTACTCATAACAATAATAATAAAATATATATTTTTAAATAGCTTGATATAAATATTCCATAGTCACTCGATGAAATTCCAACAAGTTAGACGAAAATACGTCTAGTTTTGGATATTGGATAATAGGGATTAATATCACGTAATATTTACAAAAATAAAGATGAATTTGGAAAGCTTTTGATGTTGGTTAAAAAAGATGTAGATAAAAAAAAAAATAAGACACAAAAAATATGTCTTTAAAATAATCATGTCTTTTAATTTGAGATGTACATATACCTATGCAGATTGTTGGTAACTTCAATTTAAAAGTTAGAAGGAGGAGGGCTGTTTCTTTATTGAACTTTTTGTAATCACCATCTTCTTACACTTATCCTAATTTGTAAATTTTGGGGTCGGCGTTTTTATCTATATTGCACAAGTTTTTAATTTTACAATTGACCATCTGCCTGACGTTAATTCTCTTTGAGAACGTTTTATAATATGACTTGTAAATAATTAAAAATTATAATATAGTTATTTACAAAAAAAGTTTATCTGCGGTATTTTACTAGTGATTTAAGTAATAACACAAAAAAAAATCTTTTAATATCCATAATGAATAATTTTGATTAAAAATCCGTTTTGTAATATGGCCCGTAGTAGTTCCAAATAAAATGAATATTTCCTAATTGAGATATTTTTCCACAGCTTGCTCAGCGTCAGATGCAGATTCAGGCAACCCTGGAGGCTGGTTTCTGCATAACAACAACAGTTCAGGTGCACCAGCTGCGTTGTATCAGCGTGTCAGGGACCTCTTTCACACGCGCTCACCTGGACCCAGGGTGCCCGCTGAGGGACAAGAAGCACCCACTGTGACTGGTAAGTTTGTACTTTGGGGTTACTTGGGGATATTTATTGTATTATTTTTTATATACAAACAAGCAAGTAGCAAACAAGCATACAGCCTACCTGATGGTAAGTGGTTACCGTAGCCTATGAACACCTGTAATACCAGAGGTATTACGCGTGCGTTGCCGATCCTGAAAAAACCTCTTTACCCCCCTTTTGAAGAACCCCATGCTGTAGTCTCTTGGGAAAACCTCGGCAGGGAGCTCATTCCACAACCTGAGTGTTCGTGGGAGGAAACATTTCTGAAACCGCGCAGTACGCGACCATTGAGGCTGTAGGACATGAGGATGAACTCCTTGTCGATGGCGAGCCGTACAATGGTAGAAAGTGGCTGTGGGCATCATATTGAATTATTTATATGTTGAAAAAAAAAACATATTATTTTTTATCTATCACCTAATTGATACAAATGACTAACTACTTTGTGACTAATTTTATATCTATTACAATTATTATTTTTTAGATAATTAATTATACAAATGATTAATTATGCAAGTAAATATGTTATTTGCTTGCGATTTGATAAAATAAGGTATTATATTATACGAGTAAGTACAGAACACGCAGCATCCCGTAGAGGTACGCAAATATTAAAATGCATTTGGTGTCAATATAATGTTAAAATATTACATTGAAATTTTTACCATAGCGAGACTTACATAGTACAAAAGTCGTATGCTTGATAATCTCTGTCCCATTCGTGTTTCAACCATAAAGCAGTTGTGTGTTGCATGGCTGTGTTTCGGTTTGAAGGGTGGGATATGGCGTGAATTTACAGGGTACAGAGGAATAACATCTGAGTCCTTAGAAATGGCAACGCATGAGAGGTATCATGGGCGAAACAGTATACTCTGTTATGTCCATGGTACTGCTCATGTCTATAGGCGACGGTTACCACTTTCCATCAGGTGGGCCGTCAGCTTATTTGCCATTCTAACTTGTATAAAAAAAAAACAAAAAAGGAATTTTAAAGTATAATTGCAATACTATTATCAATTTCTTGAAATCAATTTGCAAATAATTAACGCAAACTCTTTAGTAGCTTTTGTTTTAGGTATATTTTCGAATAAGATATATTATTATATTGACTTTTTCATATAATAAAATCATAATCTTGAGAAAGAACTGAATTTTATAAAAAAAAACAGATTTGTTTAGGATTGTTTGTTGATTGTTAACCCTTATTTTGATAATTGTTTGGTGAATAATTGATTTGGACGATAGCATACTCAAATGAGAGTTTTTTAAGGTTTCACAATGTTTAAATAAATTTAATTTATTAAATAATGCTCCCATATAATATTTATTATTAAAATTTATTATATAACGCATAATAATAATAATATAATTTATTGAATAATTTAAAACATAATGCTCGATGTAAAAAATATTTATTAAATTAAAGTCGATGATGTTTCTTTTTGGTAAATGAAATGTATACATATTATATCGGCCAAGTTTATACTTAATTTACTTATTACACAGTTTATAAAATTATTATAAAAATATGTACAGTGAAAGCCGAAGTGCATGGATCTACCGAGGTGACGACTGTCCCTGAGCAGTCGGACAGTGACAGCGGTGCAGAGGCCACCAGGCGTGACCATCATTACGAGGACATATACTTGCCGAGGGAAGAACATGCCAGGCGAAGGTAATTTTACATCTCTATTCAACGGAGATGGTGAACTAACTCGTAATTTGTAATTTATTAATAACTAAAATTAAATATTTTTTTTTATGTCGTAACTAGAAAAAAATTCTACGTTATCTGTTGTAATTGGAATTTTTGCTGGAAGACGATTTTAATAAGTATCGACAATAAAATTATTTAAATTATGAAAAAAATTTGGAATCCGATATTTTTTGTTTCCGTAGGAATTTAAATAAACACAAAGCGGCATATTTCAGAAACTAGACTAACTAATTTACACAAATTAACAAATTTTAGCGTTCGTTGTCACTTGACAATGATTTGTAATAAACAGTTAAATATAAAATATTGTATAATAAAATAAAAATCATATTTGTTAAAAGTCAGAACGTAATAATAAATTATGGGTAATATTTTTTTTTTAATTTTACTAATGCATTATTTAATATTTTATATCTATTTCAGCAACCAAATTTTAGCTATTTTAGCTAACTTTAGCCACCCAAATTTAGTGCTTAACTTCAGTCCTTAACCTCAGCTACCTAACTTCTGTTCTTAACATCAGCTATCTGAGTTCTTAAATTCAGCTGCCTAACTTCAGTTCTTAACTTCAGCTGCTTAACTTCAAACCTTAACTTCAGCTATCTAAATTGAGTTGTTAACTTCAGTTACCTTACTTGAGTTCTGAACTTCTGCTACCTAAATTCAGTTCTTAATATCAGCTACCTAACTTCAGATCTTAACTTCAGCTACCTAACTTCAGTTTTTAACTTCAGCTGCCTAACTTCAGACCTTAAATTCAGCTACCTAAATTGAGTTCTTAACTTCAGCTACTTGACTTCCGTTCTTAATATCAGCTACCTAAATTGAGTTCTTAACTTTAGCTACCAATTTTTAGTTCTTAACATTAGCTACCTGAGTTCTTAACATCAGCTGTTTAACTTGAGTTGTTAACTTTAGTTACCTAACTTGAGTTCTTAACTTCGGCTGCTTAACTTCGGTTCTTAACATCAGCTACCTAAATTCAGTTCTTAATATCAGCTACCTAACTTCAGATCTTAACTTCAGTTACCCGACTTCAGCTACTTAATATTTCTGAACATTTATTCTCTGATAATTTCGATGACAAAATACTAGCTTCAACTCCTTCTGTGCTTCTACTGTTCTCGTACCTATTATAAGGTTTGGCATCAGTTTGCACATGTCTCTCGTCTGTATAGTTACAATTATAATTGTTTGGTGGCAGGAGTAGTTCCCGTGACTCTGGTAGTCACAGCCGGCCCGGAAGCGCAGCCCTAGTTGTCGACTACACCACCAAAGAAAATACCGAAATGTGAGAAAACTCATTATTGACTCTCTATTGTTTCCATCAGTTTCCATCTTATAAAACGTTTTGTCTTACTTCCAATTCCATTACTTTAAAACTGTTCAATGGAAGTTTATAAATGTGACGAATAACAATTTAAGAACTCGAAATTTAATATATATTTATCTTAATTAAATTCTGAAGTTAGAAAATTATCTATCCATTGTTTACGTGAGTTTCGTTATTACAAAATAGCTTGTAAGTTTAATTGGCAGCTGATGAATGGCATTTATTGATTTTTATTAATTATTAAGTAGTTTTATAAGTTAGGTTGCATTTTTAATATACATTATTTATTTATATGAATAAAGTGGCCAGTAGACGGATCAGCTATTTTGTCGATTTGGGCAAAAATAAATATTTGTTGCTCCCAATGAACTAATTTTATCATTTTAAGCACTTACCTGGTTGGTACCCTTTTGGCTTGTCTCTGAGATGGCTCAGGATAAATTCTCGTGACAATCTAAAGTAGTATGGGAAAGTGCTATATAATTTACTTCTTTGTTTTACTTGTACATTTTGTTGCAGATCAAACAAAGCATATGAGGAAGTATCTCCGATGACAGAGAATCAGACCAAGTCTTCGATAGCCACGAAGCTAGCGGCGCTTACACACAAAGCACAGAATTTCGTAAGTAATCATAATGATACATAACAAAATAGATTTATTAAAAAAAATCGAGGGCTATTAGTGGTTATTACTTTATGTTAAACCATATTTACTAATAAAGTTATATAATATCTCAATTTATTTAATTTTATTAGTAATTATGGTGGCCGTGTGGTCCCGGCATAGAATGGTTCGTGTTTCTATCGTGAAGTAGTTGTGTTTGCATGGCTGTGTTTCGGTTTGAAGGATGGATATGGCGTGAATTTACAGGGTACAGAGGAATAACACCTGAGTCCTCAGGAATGGCAACGCATGGGGGTTATCATGGGCGATAGAGTATACTCTGTTATGTCCATAGTACTCATATCTTATCTGCTCATATCTATAGGCGACGGTTACCACTTTCCATTAGGTGGGCCATTAGCTTGTTTGCTATTCTAAGTTGTATAAAAAAAATAGAATGGGCCACCGCTTTCTTTCCTGTGGGAATTTTAAGAGGCAACTAAAGGAATTTAATGTCAAGGGAGGGGCCTACCCGCCTGCCTGGCGTGGCAACTACTGGCAAATCTCCGTTTATGGGGGAGGCCTATGTTTATCAGCAAAACAGTTAATGGCTGATATGACGATTGGTTGAGCCGTGAAGGTGCTAAGAGATAATAAACTAACAAACAAACAGTTTACAAGAAGCCTGCATTATCAAATTAACATTGCCATCTATATAAATAGTGTCCCGGACAATGAACACTTCTGATTTCTTTTTATGTACGTACAGGCCAGCCGCATCTCTTCGGCGGCGGGCAGCCGCCGTGCCTCAATATCTGATGAGGCTGTAGTGGTGCAAGCTGCGTCGGCATCTTCAGGGGTATCCTCAGGTGGAAGTTCGGGAGACGAGGCACCTCCGCCGCCACCGCCACCACCAGCCCCGCCTGCACCACCAGCGCCACCACCGAAAGTGTTGGAGGAACCAGCGCTGCGACCCTCGGAGCTGAGGGGACGACTTGGTAAGTATGTTTTATAGACATAGAGATTTTTGTAAGATGTTTATTGTTTTCTTATTCTGATTGGTCACTTATACTCATTATTAATAATGTACGATTATATAAGTATCGAATAAAAAATGTGTTAAAATTTATTTAGCCAAAGTAATGTTTGGCTAATGAAATTTGAAATTTATTTTTTTTTTTAGACTAAAATCTTTGTTCTTAGACCAAAACTGAACGTATCGTTTTTAAGTCTAATCAATAATTAGATTAAAAAGTTCAAAGATTAGATCGATATTTTAAATTTAAATTCAGAACTATTTTTTCTGTGTTGTCATAAACTAGCTATTTCCCGCGGCTTGGCTTGTTTGGCTTCGTGTATAAAATATTCTATGTGTTAATTTAGGATACCTATTTGTGTACCTTTTATTTCGTTCAGCTATATAATTGTGATTAAATAGAAAATATACTGATATCTAAATATCTTAAAAAACTTTTACCTACATTTATAATTATAGTAGTATGGCAGGCAGTGTAGGCAGTAGCGTTCCTCTTAGAACATCACTATAACCTAACTGCGGTTGCTAATCCGCCTGCCAAGCGTGGCAACTACTGGCAAAACTCGCCAAGAGTTAGGCCTATGTATAGCAGTGGTCAGTTAACAGCTGACATGATGATGACCAACAGACGTTGCCATGAAAAAAATTAATTGATTTTTAATAAATTCCCATTTTTTACTATGAATTTATTATTGCCCTATTATTAAAAATTCATTTACAAGATTTAAATGATTTCACAATTGTTTACACTGCGTTTTAATTTACCTTTAGCCCTTTTCTATCACTTTTTTGTCTTATTATTTTTATGTTCCTACTTGACTAGATACCATTTTAATTATTCTTCTCCATTCTAACGTATTCCTCTCCATTCTGCCTGTAAGAGATTGCTATTTAGCGATAAGGGCACCCATTGTTGCCTCTTTATATTGTTTTTATGTAATTAAGTTTATGTAACTAAGTATTAATTTTGTTTGTGTACACATTGTTTATCTTTATCATCTGTATTATTCTTTGAAGGGAACAATAAAGAGTTTTCATTTATTCTTTCATTAAATGATTATGCTAGATTGCATGCAGTATGAAATGTTTAGGCCTGTAACTTTAATTGAAAATAGCATTTTAAAACTAAGGTTACCTGGCTGGAATCAAATGCAATTTGTAAATTTACACCAGAAAGAGAGAGAGAGAGAGAGAGACAGGGATTTTGTATAAAAATCGTACGCTGATCTAAGTGGACGAATTTTATAATAAAAATCGTTCGCTGGGGTATCAGTATTATTGTAACTGTATTATTGTACTGGGGTAACAGTATTACAGTGGTATTGTCCCATACGTATTTCTGGCATAAAACTGTTGTGTTTGCATGGTTGTGTTTCGGTTTGAAGAGTGGTATATGGCAGTAAAATTACAATGTACTGAGACAACATAATGGTCCTTAAAAAATAGCAACAAGAGGTACCGTGGGAGTCACAGAGTATTCTGTGATATATATGTTTACAGGCGACGGTTACCATTTTTTTTATGCGTCAGCAGTTTGCTATTGCATAAAAATAATTAAATTTAATACTATTAAGTTTTATTAATGATGCACAAAAGGAAGCAAGCGTACATATTAATGGCAAGATATTTTGTGGCAGTACAAAATTTTCTTAGATTTCACATTTAAGAAATAAAAAAAAACAGTTGTTTAAATAATTTTCTATTTTGGTTAAGAAACAGAACAAAAGTTATATTTTTTATGTATTATATACGTCATATTATATATGAAATGTAATACATTATTTATGTAAGTATGTATCTATATAATACAATTTTATCTTTGGCTGTTAAATTGGTTACACAAGTAACACTTTGGGTTTGTTGTACGCGTTCGTGTAACCTAACTTCAGGCTGTAGCTGAAAATCAGTGCTTTGCTTTGTAGCCTATTTGGGTCACTGCGACACACTTGGTGAAAACATACGAGTATTTTCATATTTTATTTTTTGTTTTATATTTAAAAAAAGTGTAAATAATTGTATGGCCTCATTTATTAATTTACGTGTGTCATAAATGGCTTAAATAAAGTGTTTATCTATCCGTCAAAGTGAGTAGGGTAATAGAGAAATGAGACCACAAAGATAAGTATGAATCATTATCCTTCATATTTTACTGATTACTTTTATTTATATCAAAGTATTGACCGTGCGGGCTCGGCATAGATCGACATCGGTATAGGCCATCCCATCCTTTCTCGTCGGTGTCGTAAGAGGCAACTAGGAAAGGACAAGGGATGGCCAGTAGCGTTTCTCTTAAAACATCTCTAATGCTTAATTGCGGTTGCCAGTCCGCCTGTATCCGTTCAAATACTAGCAACATCTCCTAAGGGGGAATTTGCCAGTAGTTGCCACGCTTGGCAGGTGCCACGCCCAGGGGGGGGTTATGTACAAAAGTTTGTACTTGCTTGGGTACCTCTGTCCCATTCGTGTTTCAACCGTGAAGCAGTTGTGTTTGCATAGTTGTGTTTCGGTTTGAAGGGTGGGATATGGCGTGAATTTACTGGGTAAAGAGGAATAACACCTGAGTCCTCAGGAATGGCAACGCATGGGAGGTATCATGGGCGAAACAGTATACTCTGTTATGTCCATGGTACTGCTCATGTCTATAGGCGACGGTTACCACTTTTTATCAGGTGGGCCGTCAGCTTGTTTGCCATTCTAAGTTGTATAAAAAAAAATGTTTAGCAGTGGACAGTTAAAGGTCGATATTATGATCTATGTAATATACATGCTATATAATGATATAAAGTCGAAAATAAGTGGATTAAATCTATATGACAATATGTTCTTTAATTATATGTAGCTTCCTTCATATAAATGATATTTATTTAAACCAGCCTTACTGGTGGTATTGGACTTTTACTTTTAAGAGTACTCACTGCACTTTACCGACACCTTTATATTTCACGGTAAATATACCACGTAGACTTTCGCAAGTTCAACGACATTATGTCGAAATATCTCTTTTTTGGATATAAGCAAATTTATTAATCCACTTTCCTGAAACGTGTAGATAATTAAAGATACAAATAAAGACATTGTTTTAATTGTAGAAGCTCGCAATTCGTTCCATTTGGGTGCAAACTTTGTCCGTCCGTTCATACGTCTATCTGTTACAGCGCTGTACCTCAACGACTGTTAGTGCTGCCGATTTAAAATTAGAAATAGTTTTACATATTGTTAGCCTTTGTTGTATCAGCCATTAACTGTCCAATGCTGAACAAAGCTTCCCCTATAAGCGGGATTTTGCCAATAGTTGCCACGTTTGGTAGACGGTTTGGCAACCACAGTTTGACTTATAGTGATGTTTTAAGATGGACGTTGCTGCCAATCTCTCCAGTGTAAAGTCCTTTAGTCGTCTCTTACGATACCTATGGGAAGAGAAGGGGTGGCTATATTCTATGCCGGAATCTGCACGGCTAATTGTTGACCCTTACCTAACATATTGTAATAGAAATAATTAAAAAACATCTTGTTTGAAGTATTTGAAAGAGGTATTCAGAATTTCAAACTGGATCTAAGTGAAGTATCATATAAAAGGGATTTATTTAAATTTATTTTTATTTATTTTTAAGCTGCGTAATTTCTGACTTACAATCGAAAATGTAAAAAAATCCCCCTTATCTTCAAAATTTGTAAAGCAAAAATTCTGAATATTATAGGAAAAATTGATCGATTTTTCCACTACCATTTTTGAGAAATTATTAAAAAACAATTCAAACGTAAACTTAGCTATGTGGTCCAGTTTTTAACCAGAATAGTCTAAAGTAAAAAAGTTACGAATTGAAGTATCGACAATAATAACTATTAGGTGTGTATTTAGTATATATAATAAATGCAATAAAGGTAATTTTCTCTCGTACGGAAACTTCGTGTGAGCTCAACTTGCATCTGATCGGTTTTTTACTCGTATGTGATTCACATTAGAGAATAAACGTGAAGAGATAAAAACGTTGATGACTTTTTAACTGGTGAATCGAGTTTTTAATGTATCTGTACAATTAATAGGATTTATTTATTTCAGTATTAATATTTGTACTAGTCTATGCGCGTTTTGCCTAGTTTTTGGGTGGTTTTAGTTAGAAGTAGGAAAAGACGCGCTTCCTCTTAATGCGTTTATTTGAATAAAGCGTTACAAAATTATATGGATTGAGGTGAATGGGACAATGAAGCCAATCGTTCGTGCTGAAATTATATCACGTGATTTACATTAGCCCCAATTGGGCGATCCGTTCGACATAGAAATTGAGCCGCAATAATATTTAATATTCTTTTTTATTATTATCAATAATAATACAAAGTTACAGAAATTATGTTACATTAGCATTCAGAAACTACGTAGGTTTATATTAATACTAAATACATTCAAGTTATTTAAATTGTATTAAAAACATGCATGAAGTATCGTTTTAATTTAGACTTGATGTTGCTAATAGTAATGTTATCTCGTACATCGGTGGGTATTTAGTTAATAAATCGAGGAACCAGGTAGTCAGCCGTACGCTCACCATAACAGTTATTTACTTGATTATAATTGAAGTAGCCTATTTTATTTGCAATATAAAATTCTGTTTGTTATGAAGCAAAATCTACATATAATTAGAAGAATCCGCGTTTCCAATTTATATAAATATTTTCAACCAATTACAGTAAGAAAGAGGTTCTAAATTCGATTGTATTTATGTTTAGTACCTCATAATTCTATCAGTTATTAACCGATTTGGATTTTATTTATCTGAAAAGATAAACTTACTCATTGATTATATGGAAATTTTATACAAATCTTTTCAGTATTTTAGTATTCAATCAAAATAATTGGTTTGCCCACAATTGAAGTCGTTTTTTTTTTAAAAGTTCGTAGTTTATAGACGTGTGTGTAAGTGAAGTCACTGTTTATTTTTTCAGATAAAAATGTACTTGTGTTTA